TTACTTTTACTTTACTACACACACACACACACACACACACACACACACACACACAGCCCTAAAAATTAAACCAGCTTTTTCTCCTACAGGTTGGGAAGATTGTTATTTCTATTTTTAAATACACAGGAGGCGCTCAGACAGTACAACGATGGGGCCATAAAAGCACCTAGCTAGAGAGAAAATACCAGTTCATATGATTGTAAGGGCAACTTATGCAGGGAATAGTTATACACTTACCCTAATATTTTGACCATACTCTTTACCTAGAAAGCCCATAAATATGTTACAAGGATCATGTGATGATCCTAGGCTAAAATAAGCAGGTAGGGTGGGATATTCAAAAGAGCATCAGAAAGCTGAGTACCGAACTCTCTTACACTTCATTGAAAATCTCACGCATAGAAGGTTAAACAAAAGATTTACAAAAGTTAAAATGTTTTCAACACCTCATCTAGAAGTTGAAACCACCAGTATTGCAGCAAAGAATCCTTAGGGAAAACAGGTTGCAGCTAAACAACAGAGACCATGTCTACACTGCAAACTTTGGTTGACGCAAGTTACATCAGCATAAAGCCACCATTGTTAGTACATCACTCATGTGTATGCATACTTGGCTTCTTGCGTAAGTATTACACATACTCACGAGTGCTGGTGTCAATGCAGGGTAGGTATCTCAGTGCAACCCACTATTGTCCAATTCACTGTCTTTTAGGATGTTTTGGCAATGTATGGTGGGGCAGAAACACATCAAGAGCAGTGACAGGGGGCAAGGGGCCAGTTTGCAATTGTTTTTATTCAATCCATGCCATAATGTTATCTATATCCCATAATTTTCATGCCTTTTTCCCATGAACCTATGCAGCCCTCCTCACTGTCCACCGTTTCTGACAGAAGCATGGCACTTGCACAGCTCTGCACTATTGTCACAAGCATTGCAAGCACAGGACGCATGATCTTCCGATGTTTGCAGAGCCATAACATCCACGAATAAACAGGGAACACAACAGTATCTTGGAGCACAGACTGCTCTGGGACATAGCAAGAACAAATTCAAGGTTGTTGCTGGTGTTCAAACTGGAACCAAGAAATGAGCACTGACTGGTAGGATCACATCATAATGTAGGCGTAGGATGATGAGCAGCGGCTGCAGAACTTTCGGCTGCGCAAGGCCATATTCCTGAATCTGTGTGCCAAGCTTGCCTCAGCCCTCCAATATAGGGACATCAAAATGAGAGCTGCACTGATGGTGGAGAAGAAAGTAGTGATTGCACGGTGGAAACCTGCAATGTCAGATTGCTACTGGTAAGTGCAAAATTATTTTGGAGTTGGAAAATCCACTAAGGGGGCCACTGTCATGCAAGTGTGCAAGGCCACTAATCATCTCTTGCTATACAGTACTGTGACTCAGCAATGTGCAGGACATGCTGGAAGGATTTTCAGTAAAGGCATTTCTGAACTGTGGTGAAGCAAAGATAGCATACATATCCCTATTTTGGCACAAGCCCATCTTGCCACAGAGTACGTCAACAGAAAGGGCTACTTTTCTATAGTTGTGCAAGCATTGGTGGATCACTAGGGTCTCCTCACTGACATCAACTTTGGCTGGTCAAGGAATGTGCATGATCCTTGCATCTTTAAAAATATAGGACTGTTCAGAAAGCTACAAGCAGGGACTTTCTTTCCCAACTGGCAGATTACCACTGGTGATGTTGAAATACCAATAGCAATCCTGGGAGACCCAGCCTACCCCTTGACTCCCCTGGCTCATGAAGCCGTACACTGGCCACCCCAACAGCACCATGGAAAGATTTTGCTATTGGCTTAGCAGGTGCAGAAAGACAGTTGAATGTACTTTTGGAAGACTGAAGGGATGCCTGTGTTGTTTACTCAAGACTGGATCTCAGTGAAAAAAAAAAAGACATCCCAATGGTTATAGCTGCCTGCTGTGTTCTGCATAATCTCAGGGAAGCAAAGGGGGAAAACTTTCCGCCAGAGTGGACTGGCAGTCTGCTGAGTTAGAACAGCCAAACACAAGAGCCATTAGAAGATCTCAACACCAAATCATACAGCTCAGAGAGGCTTTGAAGACCATTTTAACAGTGAGCCACAGTACCGTGTGATGTACTCTGCTCTACCTGGCCTTGCTGTTTTGGGGCCTGTTAGGAATTGTGTAGTGTACATCTATGAATATAGCACTGTCAATGTCCTCTTAATTTTGTTGTGCTTGCTGTACATTTATGATTATATGCGGTTTGTCACTGATCCTATGAGTTGTGCCACACTGTACAGTAATAATTAAGTAGGTGCTTTCAGAATTGCTAGGCACTCTGAAGCATGTGTTGTGAACTAAAAGATTATTTTCCAAATAGAATGTTATTCAGTAGCAAAACCAGTGCAAAGAAAAATCTGTGCAATTTAAAAGCAAATACATTAAAAACTTAATAAATTAATGAAACAGAAAAACCAGCGGAAAGAACATTCCTGTCCATTAATCTATGTATACAGCAACCATGGATTTCACAGATCAGTTTGTGAGGCTGTGGTTGTCCTTAATGTCTGCTGGGATGGAGTGGGAGGGATAGGGATAAAGCCCCTGATACCACATGGAATGTAGGTGGGAGAGCATAGGGAGGTGCTGTTATGGAGTTTGCCATGGACTGCAAAGGGAGGAGAACCTGGGATTGTTGAAACTAAGCCCACAAGAGTCTGCAGCATCTCTGTTTGCTGTTGGAGAAGCTCCATTATGTCTTGGTGCATCTCCCTCTCCTTTTCCTGCTGGGACTCCTGGGCCTCTCTCTTCTCCGTTTTTATCTTCCCCAGGCTGTCTGTAATGTTCACCCTCCAGACCCTTTTCTCACGGTCTCACGCAGCACTGGCTTGCAGGATCTCATTGAACATGTCATCCCGAGTCCTCCTCTTTCTCCTCATCTAGCTCACGCTTTCCTCAGGTGCGGAGGGGGGAACCTCTCAGAGCCGCAATGGCAGTAGCTGCAGATAAAACACACAGAGGTACCACTATCAATATAGTTACAACAGAAAGTGAAAGTTAAAATTCAGAACCCCCTTCTCTTGCACCCCTAAAATTTTAAACAAGACATGCTTATTGATACTTTTGCTTCAGAGTGCTTGTGCACGGTGCCACTCGACAATCAGCCATGGTGAGTATGGCCCGCCAAGGGAAGGAAATGAGGGAATTGCTCAGTTGCATGAAACTATGAGTATAGAGCAATGGTACTAAATACTGGCACCACTGTCCACAGGAAGTGTTGATTTTAGCTGCTCTCTCACTCCTGATTTAACAAAGGCACAGAGAGCACAGCTGCTGATTATTGTCCTGAAGCCACCCAGGCCTGTCTGCTGCTAGCCTGTGTACTAGAAGGGTGCCTGCGGAAGTTATTGCTGAGTGGCATGGGAAAGTGTCCTACCAGAAAGGAAGCAATAAGGCTGCCATCCCTAGAAACCTTCAGGAGAGGATTGCAGAGTACCTCCATGAAAGTTTCATCGAGATCTCTCATGAGAATTCAAGGGACATACCTGTGTACATAAACTGCTCCACATGCCCTCCCTTGCCTAATTCTACAAGAGAATGAAAAGCAGATAATAACAATAGCTGTCTTTGTTGTACTACTACCTCTTTTAGTACAAGTAAATTAATGAAAAGTCAGTAACTGTGCCCTGTTAAATTGGGAGCACCAGCAGTATGTCATTGTAATGGGAAATTCATTTACAAACTTACCCAAAGTTCCTTCCCCTGCATTGAGCTCACCAGTGCTCAACTGCTGGGATTGACTGGATTGCGGTGGAGTCTCAAAACAGGTCCTGGCTCCCTTGTCGCATGTCCCCCATCCTCCTCCTAGCTGTTCATGCCAGGGACCTGTGGCCTGGGGTCCTCAAAGGTATCCATGGTTATGTGCGGGATATCAGTAGGGTCTCTGACAATTATGGCATGCAGCTCTTTGTAAAAGTGGCAGGTCTGCAGGTTAGCACCAGAATGATTGTTGGCCTCTCGATATGGCTGACCAAATTCCTTCACTTTCACAAAGCACTGCTGCTGGCCCCTGTTGTACTCCTCCTCCGACATCCCCTGTGCAATCTGGTCATAGATGTTTACTTTTCTATGGCTGGTCCGTAGCTGTGCTTACACAGCCTCTTCTCCCCACAGGTCCAGAGGATCCAATATCTCTTGTCTACTCCAAGCTGGAGTGTGTCTGGAGCATGTAGCCGCCATGGTCAGCTGCACAGCTGCACACAATGGAGAGCTGCTAGGTGTGCTCTCCAGTTGGACAATCAGGCAAAGCCATTTCAAAAATTTGCAGGGCTTTAAAACAGAGGGAGGGCCTTCCAGTCTCCATGACCCCTGGACAATGGCATTCACAATTGTGACCAAAGAGATTAGCGTCAGACACTGTGGAACAGCTGCTGGAGGACTGTTAGAATTCATATAAGTAACACAGTGTTTACACTTGTGTTGCGTCGACCTCAGTACATCAACCATGGCTTAATGCTGCTCAGGGAGGTAGTGTTACTGCATTGCTGTTAACGGGGCACTTACATCAATAAGAGACAAATTTAGGTATAGGCATGCACATGCGGTTTACATCCGCCTAACTTTGTAGTGTAGACCAGGCCTGATTAACTCCTTATGCTGTCCTATGGTATATTTCTTAATCCCTTTAAAACGTCACAGTAATTCATTATTAATGAAAAGAGTATTAGCAAGCACATTATAGAGTACAGCAGGACTTAAATGTTTATTTTCATCCCTGCTACAGTTTTAATAGCCTCCATGTAATTCCCAGCCTGTGATTCTCCAGTTTATGAATAATCAATCTTCTGGTTACATTACTATGCAGTGGCATTTCTGGGAGTTGATGTAATTCCTGTAATCTGCAAGCTGTTTCAAGTACATATGGGAAGGCCATCTGTGCATCTCAACAAAATTGCGCTCTTCCGCTAAAAGTAAATAAATAGTATTAATGTTAAACATGTGTATACACACACACACGATTTACAAACTGAAAAACTTCTAAAAATTGGTTTAAACAACATTAAGGACACACAAACCCATAATAAAAGGGGGCGGTAAAGTTAAGGCTGAAACTCTGTTCATTGTGCCTACGTTTTTTTGCAGCACATAAACTGTAAAAATCAACTGCCTGAATACCCTTATTGTTGTGCTCGGCATAAATAAGTTAGTTAATTTTAAATGAACGTAGTATTCAGAAAAGATACCAAAATGACAGTCCTGGAGACAAATCCTCTATCCACAAAAGAGATACAACATGGGTAGCAACAGTGCGGGATGCTTTCTTATGCAACCACAACAAACAAGGAGTAGTTCCTTCTCCACACCTGACTTCCTATACTGAGAATGACAACAAAGGGGATGTGGATACATCTCTAATAACTGAATTTAAAACTAATACTAAATTTCACACAGACCACCAAAAGCCTTCTGATAGTGACAAAAGGGTAAAATAAGCCCTAATGCTGAATTTCCTTTTTGTTGTGGGTTTAGCTTAATTTTTTTGTTTTTTGATTTTGTTACTGATCTTCCTAAAAAATAACTTTTTTTGAAACACAATTTTAGGTCATCATAATTAGGCAAGATACATCCTTCTTCCTAACTCTGTGTCCCAGCATTTCCTGAATCAGATTGCAGCAGAGGATGTTCACAGCCAATTTTCTTGGGCTAGGGACAGGCAGAATACAGATGTCAGCAGAGTACAATAGGGCCATATTGTGAGAGGTGCAGAGCTAATACAACTCCCATTAATCTGTCAGGTGGTTTCTACATTTCTTTTAAAGCAAACTGGGTGGGTGCACCTCACAAGGTTTGGCTTTTTTAAAAAAATGAACTATATAATTTACCTCTTCCACCTCTATTTCCTAAACCAATTTGACTGACTACTTTGTCACTTGGGTTTACTTACATGAATGAAGTGCCATTTAATCATTTGGTTTCATAATATGCTATATCAGCTATTGGACAGCATTATAGAGATCCTAAATTTTTTTTTAAACGTTATGCTTATTATGTGGTGTTTAAATAGCACGTCCTTGGAAGCAACTTGTAATCTTGATTCAATGTATAAAATAAATAGACTTAAGTACATCTCTCTGAAGTCTCACTTATCTCCTCACATGCTCAGAAACAGCATTACTTTGCATTTATTCTTCAGTCCAAATATAATGGAAAAGGTGGGTTTTTTAATTTTTAAAAGATAGGAATTGGTAAACTACCTGAAAGATCTTGAAATTCAGGCTTTTGACTGAAGATGAGGTAGTTAGTGGCAATAAAATGAAGGAGCCAAGTTGAAAGGCAGTCAGAGTTGTGAAACTGCAAGGAAAAAAGGAAAGTGAAACAGAATACAAATACTGTTCATGATTAAGACAGATAAAAGATAGCAGAAGGAAAAAAGCAAAAGTCATAATTTAAGATTTCCAGTGTCAAAGTAACAGCATAACAAATGAAGAGCGGTATCCATGGCAAAAATAAATGAGGGAAAATATAGCACAACAAACTGGCAACGACATACAAATTCTAAGAAGGTGTTTGAAACAGCAGAAAACTGGCAGCAAACAGGTAGCTGCCAGACACCATGACAGTCTCACAAAGCAGATTAGGACTGAGAAAATTCAGGGCCAGTTAAAAATCAATTTCAAATTTGTTGTTGAGAGTATGTATCTTTTCTAAAAATGTTTTGGTTAATATAACAGTGGCTAAACTAAACTAAATTTAGCTATCTAATAAAGTACAACTAATTGCTGTTTAATGCCACAGCAAGATCTCCTAACTCCTCTTCTCCCTTGTCTTTTTGCGTACTATTTTTTTTTTTTTTGTCAAGTAGTTTATTGTGGGTAAGCTAATTCTGCCTTTCTTTTTTTTTTTTTATTGAAACACTGTTTCTTTAAGAGGCTGCACTTCCTATCCCTGAGCAGTAAAAATGATTTTATCTGTCTTGTCTTTACTCTCCTTTTCTGTTCCCCCAATCGGTCTTTATTTTTGTCTCTCCTCTTTCCTGTCCTGTTTCTCAGCTCGCCTATCTTCTCTTACCACTTGGTTTTTTATTCATCATTTTCAAATGCACACTCTGTTCTACCCAGTCCTTCTGTGCATTTGAGACGTGGTGCACAGTTGGAGACAGCTCTTCCAGCACTAAAGAAGGAACCACTTCATCTAGACTCACTGCAGTGCTTCTACGATAGAATTTGCACAGTTTAGCTGAATTACTACTATGTGGCTCACAGGCAGGACATGTCACAAATGCATAGACACGCTGCAAGTAAGAAAGTTCTCATGGTACAAAGGCGGGGGAAACTGTGCTCTTGGCAGGTTGTACTCTGGCTATCCTTGTGCTACCACTAATCCCTAAAGAACAGATATACCAGTAAATATCCAACCCTGAAAAGTGAAATATCAACAAAAAATTTTTTTTAAAGAAATTCCATCACTCATACATTACATGTTCAAGTATGAGCAATACATACCTTGGCTTTTCTGAGCAAGCTGACAACGCTAAGACTTGTAGATGCTAATTCCCTACTAGGCATACTCTGCAGCTGTGTGATGATATAAAGCTCACAGATATGCTGGAGTCTGGATACCTGGTACATCTCAGCACAAATCAAGAGAGACATGGCTTGCAAAATACTGGCTGGTAAAAAAACCAAACATGACTTATGGTTAGTGCAATTTCATTGGCAGGCTGATCAAAACCATTTTTACAGTAATCACTTAAATTTGCTTGGAATAGACACAAAATCAAAGTGCTTCTGATTATCTTATGTTTCTGCACTGTATTTCACAATTTTTGACAGGTGAACTCTATTTTAGCAGAAAAGTATTTAATTTCAAAAAGAGTGACCACTATTTTATCTTCCAAAAAAAAAATGAGCTAATGCAATGTAGTTACTAAACTTTCCTATGTTGTAGATTGTGGGTCAAATATTGCTGCTGAAGTGAACAGTCTTCAGTGAATTTAGGATTTGACCTTCCAATTTATATAATTTTGCTGTGTGGAGAAAAAATTGTTTTTATACAATTATGCAAAGTTTCATGAAAAAGCCAGACATAACACAGCAAGGTCTTTCTTTCCCCCCCCCCCCCAAACAGTAAATTACAATAGTAACATTTAAGCAGGTAGTGTTGGACACAGAGATGAAAAAGAAAAAATAGAGCATTATTTAAAAAAATTTCATTCATGTCCTCTAGTGGGAGTCACTTGAAATATTTAAGTATTACAATGTAAAATTCCAATATTTCTTATGATAGCTTATAAAACCAAGATTACTTTAACCAAAATCTGTTTTAGGGATTTATTCCAGTTCAGTGTAGTCATCCGGTTTTGTTATAACTGCATTACTAGATTAAACAGATTAGATAGATTTAAGCTTTAAAAAAAAATGAAACTTGACAAAGAGAAACAACTTTGTACTAACCTGGAGCTCTGACTAAACAGTATTTAAACTGTATTTCTTTTTTCATCTAGAAAATGGCCTCAAGGCATTGGAATGGCATTGAAATGACTTAAGATTTAATTTTCAATGTGTTACTTAAGTAGAAGATGAATAAAACAATTTGTAAATTCTATTATAAATATACTTCATTGTAATGATACACTAATGCATCATATTTTGATAACTTACAAAAAAAATAAAGTTTTCTTTTTTAAGGGAGAGAGAACTTCATTCTCATGTTGTACCACAGAAAGCTACACCTAAGACAAAAAGTTTCTAAGAAATATCTTCAGCCAATAGAAATCCTTAACCAGAAATACATCAACCAATATGAATACTTTTATTAGTGAATTTAAAGTATCTGGTAATGCAAAACTCTTCCCAATGTACTTTGTTTACAACATTGCCATTTAGACACAAAATGCAAAAGGATGAAGGTGTTAAGGATACGACTAGAAACTTTTCACTTAATTTTTTTATATTGGGATTACACCTGGATATTAATTTACAGAGAAGTGTAAAACTTCAATCCTTCATTCAGTATGTTGAAGAAGCAGGGAAATGAAAAGTCACTGGTGTATCTCCTCCCCCTTACTTCCCCCTTTCACCCCTGTAACCCCCACAAAATCTGGGGGCAAAAATATGCCTGAAGTATGCAAGGAGTTAAAGGATATAAGGATATTTTTACATTTGCTTACCTGGACAACAGGAATCAGTATACAGATACTCTAGAAAGGAGAGGAAGGTATCTTTGGAAACCCCATAAACTGGAACCAGAAAACTATTTGCTTCTATATAACTTCCATTAAACATAGCTGCCATTACTTCACAGCGAGCCACTAGAACTGCTCTGTGGGCTGGTACAGTAGCACCTGTCAGATTTAAAACAAAAAATGACATTTATTACTGCAGCCTGCTCTCTACACCAGTTTTGCAAGTTAGAGAAGTACTTATCACTTCAGGGCAGATCCTCAGCTGGTATAAACTGACATCACTCCACTGAAGTCAATGGAGATATGACAATTTACACCAGCTGAGGATTTGGACCATTGTGTCTTCTGTATGCAAATAAAAGGCATGTGTAAGAATTTGCAGTATACCCAAGTAGTTCCATGGATTTCAGGAGCATCACTGACATGACTAAAGCTTTGGGAGATCACATTCAAACACACTAAGGCAAATCATCCAAGGTGGAATGCCATTGTACTAGGTGCTGTATAGTCCTTTCTTTGAAAAGCTTATAATCAAGGCCCTGATCCTGCAATTTTTTTGAGTCTAGGTGGATTGCTGCACCTGTGCAGCACTGTACTAAAGGGAATAGGCTCCACACAAGTGCAGCAATTCACCCATATGCAAGAAGTTACAGGATCAGGGCCTACCAAGACGGATAATGTCTGAAGGGTGGGAAGGAGTCATATAGTCAATATATAGGATTTTCACATAAGTATATATATTAGCATTTAACTGATCTGTTTATTATGACAACATCCAACCATCTTCATTTCCCTCTGAACCTAACCATCACTAATTGGCTGATTTCTTATAGGCATCAGTAAATGGTGTTTGCTTTTTGTTCTGTTACTATTAATCTTTGCTTATATTTTCAGATTATCTAATTAGCACACATTAAATACACTGATACACCTGTAGCATATATTTTATAGCTATATATGCATATATGTAAGAGGTGCACATTAAATAAAAGACATACTACATAAGATTATATACAAATATTTGCATACATACACGCATTCAGTATTTAGGGGATTAAATAACCTTCTGTATTTTTTCAACTGGGAGCCACTGTATTTGTATAATGTTTCAATAACACTTACTGAAATACCAATAGTTTTATAGTCTAGGGGTCCAAATCCTGCAAACTCAATGGAACTGCTCACATACTTAACGTTAAGCACATATGTTTGAAGGATCATGACCAAAGTCCTGTCACAATATATACAAATGTCTTAATTGTACAATTTGAAAAGTTAAACTGTGCTACTTAAAAAATCAAATCAATTACTACAACTGTGATTGGAAAATTAGAGTAAAACTTACTCTTTGAGAAAATAGTACGTAGCCATTTTTTTAATCCTTTAGTCACCATTTTGGTAATGGATGGCATGCTCCTTTGTAAATGTCAATTTATTCATCAGTGATATTTTCTTTGAAATATGTAGTGGGTGCTATTGTTTCATCAGCTTCCCACAAGGAATATCCCAAGAGTGGAACTTAGAACTGAACTGTTGTGTTGCCAAGTTTTGCATTAGTGTTTCGTTTTCATTATCAAAAGTCCTTTTGTTTTTATTGCATACTGAAAGGGACATCTAGAAAAAAATCCCCTTTTCTCCATGCACCCATTTTTGAGGGATTAAATCTTCATATTTGACCCTGGGTGTTTCAAGTTGAAAACAAAATAATTCAACAATTGTCTAGTGTTTGGGGAGAGGTTTTTTTGCATATGGGGTAGGAGTGGACGAGTCAGGAAAACTGTTAGTGTTCAGATAAGTATCTTGTCTGATACTGATTTGCAACAGCACACCCCAAATGTGTCATCATTTTTTCCATTCAACTGTTCTTTTAGTGGATAAGTGCATTTAGTTCTTGTGAAAGTTATCTAGAGTCCGCCATTACTTTTGTGGTGAGAACACACATTCTTCAGAGGCAGTGAGAAAACAGATCCAGTGATTTGGTCCCTTTTTGGGCTTCTGACAAGGAATACTTACAAATCTTCATAAACAAACAATCAATCCTGCTCAGTTAACAGTTAATAACCTTTCAAATTATCTATTCAGTTATCTTAAAAAACTTGTATTGTATTTAATCATAGATGGGCAAACTTTCTGGGCTGCTCCAGTAGCATGAAGGGACTAAAAACTGGCTGCATTCCCCCAAGTCACGATTCCCTCAGCAGGCAGAGAGGCTGCACAAAGCAGAAAGCTGGTGATAGAGGAGCTAGCCCAGGGCGGGCAAACTTTTTGGCTTGAGGGCCGCATCCAGTTTCCAAAATTGTATGGAGGGCTGGTTAGGGGAGGCTGTGCCTCCCCAAACAGCCAGGCATGGCCTGGCCCCTGCCCCCTATCTGGTCCCCCCAGCTTCTCGCCCCCTTACAGCCCCTCCTCCCCCCAGGACTCCTGCCCCATCCACCTCCCCGCTCCCTGTCCCCTGATGCCCCCCCCCAGGACTCCTGTCCCATCCAACCCCCCTTTTCCCTGACAGCCCCCAGGTCCCCTGCTGCCCCATCCAACCCCCCGCCTCCTTCCTGACTGCACCTCCGGGACCCCTGCCCCATCCAACCC